CTGCCACCACCACCACCTCGAGACCCAACACTGCGCTCTACCAGTTCTCATTGTGACTCTAAATTGTACTATTAATATCAAATTATATTACAACACTACCCTCATATGCAGTTTTATTTGTAAAAAAATGTTTTGTATGCTTTGGACGTTGACGATACTGTTGGTCATATTTATTTTTAAACATTGATTAGAAAACTAGTTGATAAAACTGAATTCTTCATAATAGCTATTCAAATATATAAAATCTTCCATTAAAAAGCTTCAAAAACTGATCAAGTCAAAAAGACGGTGCATACACAGTTTTAGCTCAAAGGAGTTTGTATCCAAGCCAGTAAAATATTATTAAAAAAGACAAGTCGTCACTACTTTGCCGTCGTTACGATAAGTGCGATTACTCGAAATAGGCAGCCTTAGTACATATTCATGACTAGAGAAATGAGCTATATATTTTCTTAGATTTTTTTTTTTATTGATAGTAGTTTTGATCATTTTTTCAAGGATACACACAAAACAAAAATGAAATCGTTGAGATTAGCTCAAAAGCAACCTAAACCAAGTGTATAGAGCAGGGATCGGCAACCTATAAAAACAAAAGACAAAAACATCACTACAAAATTTCAGTTCATAAAGAGCTATGGAAAGATTTTAATTCAATATTATTGGGTTGGCACAAAAGTAATGAGACACACTAGAAAAATCTATAACATTTCCTTTTTAAAATAAATTTTTTCGATAATATTCTAGAATGTTGTAGAACATTCTAGGTACTTCTGGTGTAGGGTATATAAAGCCGCGCTCGCGATTTGTTTAGTCACTTTGAAGAAAAATGGACGAGCGACAAGTTCGAACACTATACTTATACGAGTACTTGTTAGGCCACAGTGCGCGGGCTGCGGCTGACAATATCAACAATGCATTAGGCGCTGGAAGTACAAGCCATGCGACGGTGTCCCGATGGTTTGACCGTTTTAAATCAGGAGACAGGAGCCTTGAAAATCAGCCACGCTCAGGGCGACCACCCGCAGTGAATGATGACGATTTGCGCCGCGAACTGCAGTTGAATCCGGATGCTACCACTCGTGAATTAGCGGAAGCACTTAAATGCAGTCACCACGCCGTGGAACACCATCTGCATGAGCTTGGTTATCGAAAAGTTTTGGCTCGGTGGGTACCGCACATCCTTACAGACGCCAGTCGTGCAGTCCGTGTCGCTATCTGTCAGTCACTTTTGCTGCGACCCCCGACGTAAAGAGTTTTTGTCAGATCTGGTTACTGGAGATGAATCATGGGTTTATTACGAGAACGATACACGTCGTGCTTTTTGGCTGCCTCGAGAAGAAACGCCACCAACTCAACCGAAGCCGAGTCAAAAGAACCGCCGAAAAATTCTGCTTTGCTGTTTCTGGGATGCGCAAGGCATACTGTTTTATGAGCTATTACACAATGAAACTATAAACGCTGACAAATATTCAACCCAGCTTACCAAATTATCTGCCGCTATCAAGAAAAAACGACGAGAACGAGTCAATGTAGTTTTACTGCACGATAACGCTCGCCCTCACGTCGCATCTGTGGTTCGCCGGCAGTTGGAGAACTTGGGCTGGGAGACGATACCCCACCCACCTTATTCCCCAGACCTCGCCCCATCAGACTATCATTTGTTTAGAGCCCTGAAACAGCATTTGCGGGGTAAACAATTTAATGATTTCTCTGACGTAGAGGCGGAGTTGAACAACTTTTTCGAGGCACAGCCATCAGAATTCTGGGCAAAAGGCATCCAAACTTTGCCGGATCGTTGGCAAGAAGTCTTAGATACTAAAGGTAATTACATTATTGACTAAACTTTTTTTATTGTAATAATAATAAAAAAGTAAAAACTTAAACCAAGTGTCTCATTACTTTTGTGCCAACCCGATATATTTCACATGTTATTTAAATTAAACAACTTTGAATATCTCCAAGTCACGGTCATTATATCTTAATCGTATTATAGTATAAACTAGGTATAATGATATTGATTTAAGTGATTACACAATTTGAAGGGTTTTGGCAGTATATATGTATATATTTGTATATATGTATATATTTGTATATATAAACGAGAACTTTACATTGAAACAGCCACAGGTTGCACACCCCTGCTCTAGAGCACCAGTAAGTAAGCTGCCAGTTACCATTATTCATACTAAACAGTAATTACAATTACTTTTGAAGTTTATAATTATAATAGAGAAGTAAATAAAACACAAATTTATTATATCAATTACATTTTCTACTAAAATTATTCACAATTATTGCTCCATCTATACAAAATATATTTATTTTAATATCATAAAAAATCGTATAAAAGGGACCTCTTTCGATATAATTTCTTGATTATGTTATAACCATTAATTATTTATGACAATTGTTCCCAATTAGCAAATATAACTCTTGTGAATAGAAAAAAATGGTACAGTAAGGTATTCTAGACTGTCAGAAAAAGTACATATAATAAACATTTGCAAGCTTCTGACGAAAATATGAAAGAATTTTATTACTTAATACTTAAGAGTTTGATCTTCAGTATACGGAAGCACTAAGGGTATACATCACTCAGTACCAAGTGATGTAACATTAAATTCGACAAAAAATAAAATTAACTTTGAAATAAACATATCGGCAGAAAGATTTCTACTTCTATTATAAGCTCCCCAAAAAGAATAAAATAAAATAGCTTAAATTCTTACTTCGTTTACATCTTTTCACTTTAAGCAAGATCATTAGATAGCACTGCTCGAATCTAATTGGCATCTTATAATTTATTAGATTATGTCTAAACTCTAGGAGTCTGTTTTATTTACCATGACGTCATGATTATGAACCACAAATTCACACACGGACAACATTTTTGCAGATTTTTTCGGGCTTATAGAAATTAATATAAATATTTAAAAGTACATTTTAAAACAGCATCGAATACCATAGTATAACACATATTTTAAATAACAAAAAGCAAAGTAAAATCAACCATCATTTAATGTAATAAGAATCATCCAGCATATTAAGGTTTTTGTGTGTATTAATTATAACCCATCATTAAATTAATAATTTCATTTATTGCAATTTTTTTTTTATAATCTTTAATTTCCTATATGAGTACTAGTTCGGACTAATAATATAGGGTGAGTGCACCACATAAACAATATTTTGAAACGAGTATGGATGATCACATCTTCAAAACTATTTTCAATAACTAAAATAGTGGATATTGTAATTTTTTGTTATTGGAGTGAAAAAATATCATTACAAGATCAAGTGTCAAAATAAAGTTCAGTGGAGATTGCCGATATATATATTTTAAAATTGAGAACCATTGATAGAAAATATGATGATTGATTTTGAAATATTGGAGTTGGTCACTTTTTTCAGGGAGTAGGCCTGCTGGTTCTTGATTGCATGTATATCGCTTTTAGTTATGATCACATGGTTGATAGAAGAATGGCAATGCAAATGTAAAAAAAATGCATGAAAAAATATTTGGTGTAGAAATTTAAAATGGTGTACTTAGTGCAGGTTCCTGTTTTGATACTGGCGCACCCACCCTAATTGAATTTAAAAAATTATCACAGTCAAATATCACACCTCAAAATAAGATATATAGATGTATATATCATACATTATAAAATTATTAGTAAGAGGATCCCTTATTAGAAGTACAGTCACCAAGATGCCAAAAAGTATTTATTTTAGAAGCCTTAATTTATTGCCTGTAAAATTCAAATATTTAAATCAGAAATTCTGTATATTCAAATATAGACATTTTGTAACTACATGTAATACAGCATTAAGAAATTATAAAAATAAGAAAATTGAAGGTTGACATAGTTCAATCGCATTGTTTCTTATCACTATATGTGTGTATAATGTACAACACATCATATTAACTAGTATTGAGATAACATTTTCAGTTTTTTTATTGTCCAAGGTTAAAAAAAAAACAAACTAAATAAAACGGTCAATTGTTGACCAACAGATATTTGACTACAAAATAATTGGTGATGTCAGTTTCAATTAGCAACCCATTCTAAAATTTCATTCATACATTTAGTTGACATATTGTTTTGAAACTTAATTATAAAGATAACCTTATCAGCCTTATAATAAAACAAGGACTAACTTACTAACTAAACAGATTTAAACCATTACATAATTAAAAACAAAACGTCTCCATTTGACATTTCCTTTTCTGCCATTGTCAATTTGCTTTGAGCAGCCAATAGTTTAATCCAAATATAAATTTTAGTCTTCATTTTATAATAAGACCGTATGAGTTTCATGTATAAAATTCTGAAATTTATACTCAGAAATGACTAACTATGCTTGGCAGTTAGTAATTTATTGATACATGAGTGCCTTAAATATCATTATTTCCACACCAAACACCACAAATTGATAAATGATTTAAAAGCTGTTCATTATATATCAATAAATCGGTTTACTCAAACTAACTACGTGAAATTAGATATGCTAAAAAAATTAACTTACCAATATAATATTAGAATCCATTGGTCACTTAAACACTTTTTGAGGTCACGAAAACACTTATTGTCTTTGTAACACTATTACCATTTCTTATAATCTATCCTCAGTATATGGTGATATTGTTGAAAATATTTTATTACAATAATTATCTTATAAGTAGGCAGGGACTGTTGTCGGTTCTCAAAATCAATATTTAATAATATATTTAAAATCAAATAAATTTTAAAATAAAAATGGTAAAAGCAGAGTTAATCACTATAAATTATTAATTTTGTAAAAATATATATATATATTAATAATTCATCAAACAGTACATCCTTATTCTTGTCAAGACCCCAATATCACCACAACTCCTTTCTGATTTCATTTTGTTTTTCAATTCCCTTTTATTTATTTTTCTTCAGCAGACAACTGAACAATATATTTTCCGAAGGTTAATTATTCACTTGTTTAGTTTTCACTTTAATAGGTATTATTTACAGTCCTAGAGCTGGTACTGGCGTGTATGCTGTAGGGCTAGGAGCACACGCTTGTCGCACGCTCATTTCCCAAGCGTCGAGTAGTTGACCCACTGAACAGCGTTTTGGTAGTCTGCAAACATGAAAACATTGAAATCAATTCCAGATAGACTGAGAACAAGCATTTATGTTGTATGTAAGTTTTTAAGCATTTATGTGCTTATATTGTACTTTCAACAGGTTTCCTTATAGGGAAGTTAGATTATATAAAAAATATATATTTGTAAGCGTTGTGTAATTCCAAAAAGAAAAAGCAAAACTTCCTTGTATTTGAGAATTAGATTTTTCTGAACCAAATTTATATGAAAAGTATAGAAAATATGTAAAATACATGTCTCGAGGCACCAAATTCTCTCGGAAGTATACATTATTTTAGCGAAATTGCGATTTATATCTGTGGATAACAAGGACCGAAACACGGGCAGACTTGGGACGTCACATTTGAATAAGCTAAAAGTTTCTGTTGCGAATGCAACCAGTATTCATATTTCGCGCGGCAATAGGGTAGTTTCAGTATTGCATAATAAAACTAAAATTGACATCGTAATAAACAGAGATTCTAATTTTGAGTCTTAAAATTGCGCGATTATCTTATTATCTTAAAATTAAGAGTAGTCGTCGTTTTTGTGTGTCACGTGACTTGAAACAAGTCCCGCCATTGTATGATACCTATTAATTATAAATCGAATCCCTAGATGGCGCTGTTCTTAGCTCATTTTATTTTTTTATTTCGTAATCTATCGTTCGATGGTATTGGGTATGGGTATTCCGTTCCGATATACACTGCGAGCACTGCGCAGTGGTCTTACTGCTGAAAAATCCGTTCCGTTCTGGACTGCCAGTACACTGCTACAGTACCCTAGGGAAATTTATGACGTCATAAATTGCCGCCATATTTGTACTGTGAGCACTGGAGATTTCGAGGTAAGGTGCTCGCAGTGCTTTTGATCACGTGATCAGTCGAAACAGAATCAGAAAATGATTAGTTTCTAAATAAACAAAAAAAATACTTACGTTTATTTATAAGATGGATTTAATTGATAAATATTTTTTTTATACAATTTTCTCAATTTTCTTTTGAAAAGAGGGAATCTTTATATTTATATTCACCTTGCATTAACAAATTTGAAAATGGCGCCAAAAAATAGGATTAACAGTATACTGGACTGCGTTCCGTTTTAAAAAGTCACCAGTATAACTAGCTATAAAGGAACGGGCTTCCAGTATACTAAATTGACGTCATACTGTTCAGTGGTCGCAGTGTATATCGGAACATACCCTTTGTTCTTGTTTTATTGACATCTTTTAATCTTTACTGTATGCATCTGTTTTGTACATAGAGACACAATGATGTCATGAACATGACAGTTGAATATGATAAAAAAAAAGTTTAAATTTTGATGTAATGTTAAGGTAATTAAACGTGTTTACTTTCCGAAATATTTCTTTTAAAGCTTAAATGAAAATAAACAGTTACAAGTACTATTTCAAACAGAGTAAAATAACTATTTAAATGAATGTATAAAAATATGCTTTTCGACCTTAGCGTCGGTCGCTCGGAGACCGCGGTCTTATCAACGAATGAGCGCGCGCGGCTTAAACATAATGGAGTAAACTCTTTTACGTTGCAAATCTTCTTGTTAAATTTATATTATTTATCAATGACAACTTGGTGTTTTAATTGTTTTTTTATTTGATTGATTGTTATCTGATAGTAGTCTGCTGGGGAAAACTCTTAATTCGGGTGCCGACTCGGTCTCCGCGTTCGCAGCGATTGTTTTCTGTACCCCCTTCTAAAAATAATGTCTCACAAAATAACCCTCTTAACAGAATGTGTACTCATTACAACAAAATCTGTTTCAGTTGTGATATCTTTAATTGTAGTGTTCCCACATTTAATAAAGTTTTATATGAGCTGGAACTAATTATGTAATTTAAAATTTATTTTAGTGTTTTGGTTAATGACAATACTTAATCATAGTTACTAATTTGGTTGTTTTATGTTATATATGTTGTATTTAAAAAAATATATATTAACCGTGTTGTAAGTGTCACTTATTATTAGTTTATAGCAAATGTTGTGCAGAATAGTCATTGGGCACAGATATACCTTAGTATTAATTTAATGTTAGATCTGTTGTTTGCTATTCTGTTGTCTGTAATTGTGCCTTAATAATAAAATAAATAAATTCTGTTCTTCTCGATGTTGTCAATAAAATGATTTTTTTTTAAAGCTTTGGTTGTTTATAAAAACTTATTATTAATCTACAACTAGTAGTAAGCGCGCCATCTCACCTGGCACACCGTGCGTCCATGGCCTGCTCCACGCGCGCCAGGAAGGAGGACTGCTCGGCGGTGGCGGGCGCGTGGTGGGCGGCGGCGGGGCGGCGCGCGGCGGCGGCGGGGGCGGGGGCGCGCAGGCGGGCGGGCGCGCGGCGCGGGTAGTCGCGCGGCACCGCCACGTGCACGCCCGGCACGCACGGCAGCCGCGCGTCGTCCAGCTGCGCCAGCAGCGAGATGGCGCCGCTGCCGCCGGACAGCTGCATGGTCTCCAGGGACACCTGACATTTATTATTGTCTCGTATACATTACTGAAGAATATTAAACGCGTATTTTTTTTGTTGCATTATCAATGACGTAGCGAGTCGCGACATTTTTTTTCTTTGCATAATCTGTGTGGAAATGAATGAAGTGGTAAGTTCCGATTTCTTAGCTTTAATGCCTATTATGTAAGCAATTTCTTGTTTAAGTTCCATTTCTTGAAGCAAAAAATAAAATATTGTAACGTAAAATTTACGTCACATGGTTTTTTCACTCAATTTAGTTGTCAAAGTCAAAGTCAAAGTCAAAATAATCTTTATTCAAATAGACTTCTTAAAAGTACTTTTGAATCGTCCAACATTTTTTCCCTACCACTCGTTCAGGACGTCTTTTGGCTGATAAGAAGAACGAGCAAGAAACTCACCAGCTCTAATATGAGTAATGACATTTACAAAAACCATGTCATTACCAGATCAATACATTATAAACAGAGATAAAAAAAAACTATGGTCTTATAATAATAACATAATCATTTAATAATAATGGAAACAAGATAATGAGTTTAGAAGTAATCACCTATCCAGTTGCTGGATCATCTCAAGTCCAAGCGTTCTTATCTGTTACATAATCGGATACCTTATAATAAGCTTTTTTAATAAGTATTTTTTTAATAGTAGATTTAAACTGCATGATATCTAATTGTTGTATTTTGCTTGGGACCTTATTGTAGAAGCGCACACAAAGACCCTTGAAAGAGTTATTAACTTTTTGCAGTCTAGTGACAGGCACCGTTAATTTATTTTTATTTCTTGTATTAAAATTGTGTACATCACTTTTAATAGAAAACAAACTAATATTTTTACGAACGTACATTAAGTTCTCGTATATGTATTGAGAAGCAACAGTCATAATGTCTATTTCCTTAAATTTCTCCCTTAAAGAGTCCCTAATCCTAAGATTATAAATTGATCGAATTGCTCTTTTCTGAAGCACAAAAATTGTTTGTATGTCGGCAGCATTTCCCCACAATAGGATACCGTATGACATAACACTATGAAAGTAACTGAAGTATACTAATCTGGCAGTATCTATGTCAGTTAACCTACGTATCTTCATTACGGCATATGCTGCAGAGCTAAGTCTACTCGACAATCTATCAATATGTGGGCCCCACTGTAGTTTAGAATCTAATGTTATTCCTAAAAATACTGTGGTATCCACAAGGCCCATGTTCTTATCTTTTACATTAACATTTATATCTACTTTTTTAACATTAGGTAGTACAAATTTTAAGCATTTTGTTTTTCCTTCATTAAGGAGAAGATTATTTACATTAAACCAATGTACTACTTTAGCGATAGAATTGTTCACATCGTCATTTAGAGGTAACCCTCTTTTAATTTTAAACAAGAGTGAAGTGTCATCCGCAAACAAAACTATTTCGTGATCATCCCTTACGAAATAAGGCAAGTCATTTATGTAAATCAAAAACAAGAAAGGACCAAGTATTGAGCCCTGCGGAACGCCCATCTTAATTTTCGATCCAGGGGATCTTTTGCCATTGATATCAACCCTCTGTACTCTGTCAGTCAAGTATGAGACAATAAAATCCAATGAGTTATCTCTAAATCCATAAAAATGCAGTTTCCTAATCAATGTTTCATGAAAAACACAATCAAATGCCTTAGATAGGTCACAGAAAACACCTAACGCATCATGTGAATCCTCCCAGGCATTAAAAATTTCTTGTATTAAGTCGACACCGGCTTCGGTTGTCGAGCGACCCCTTGTAAAACCAAATTGTTGTCGATTCATAAGCTTATTCTTGTAAAAGTACGTTTGTATTTGATCCAGCATGATTTTTTCAAAAATCTTACTAAACGTAGGTAGCACGGATATAGGTCTAAAGTTAGTAGGGTCAGATGTGCTACCCGATTTATGTAAAGGAATAATTTTACTATATTTCATGAGCTCAGGAAAAATACCACAATCAGTACATTCATTAAATATATAAGCTAAGATTGGAGCTATTGTCTCAATTACCGATTTAGAAACTTCAATGGAATTACCCCATAAATCAGCAGTTTTCGTTTTCTTTAGCTGATTAAAAGATTTTATTATATCTTTAAAATCAATGTGTTGAAACTTAAATTGGCTATTAGAATTATTTAAACTTGCCTTTAAAATAGATTCAGCAACAGTGGAAGAGGAATTCAAAGATTGTGTAATTAAGACTGGAATTTCAGTAAATAAATTTTCAAATACTGTAGCAACTTCAAGATCTGATGTTACTTTTTTATTATCAATGTTTAAATTAAAATTTATATTCCGGGATTTTTCTCTTCCAGTTTCACTATTTATGATATTCCACGTCATTTTAACTTTGTCTTTACTATTTTCAATTTTCGCATTTAAATAATTACATTTGGCTAAACGACACACTTTTTTAAATAATTTAGAGTAATTTCGTACATATTCTTTGAAGTCCTCACTTGTGTTATAATTACGTTCATCATATAGTTCATAGAGCCTTTTTCTGCTTTTGTAGATTCCTGGTGTAGCCCACACACTAAAAGTTATAGGATTACTAATACTTATTTTTTTTTTTGGGACAAAAATCTTATTGAATTCTGTACAATAAACATCAAAGAAATCTTTGTACAAATCATTGGGATTACTATTATGTTTCAAATGATACAATTTACTATCTAATTGATTTTTAAAACGTTCCAAGCGACTCATACTTTTTGACACAACTGTAATGTCTCTCCTAGCCACAAACGTACATTTATGCGGAAAGCTAACTAGTTGTCCAAAATGATCTGACGGTAGTTGTTTAATTATCTGTCTTGAAAGTGGTACTAGATCTGTAAAAATGTTGTCAATACATGTGGACGAAGTAGCAGTTACTCTAGTAGGCTCCTTAAACATGTGCGCAAGATTATAGGACATAAATAGATTTACAAGTCTTGTACATGAATTGGAGTTTCCTAATAAATCAACGTTAAAATCACCCCCAATCACTAATCGTTTGCCTTTGCTATATACCTTTTTTAATGCTTCATCCATAACAGTTTCAAAGAGATCATAATGAGAAACTAAACTTGAAGGAGGTCTATATACGCTCAGTACAATCAGCTGGTCCAGCTCTATACAGGCAATCTCTATTATTTCCTCAACCGATAGGCTCACTATATCTCTACGTTCTTTAAATTTAAACTTTTTATTTAATAAAATTAGTGCGCCACCACGCATTGCGTTTTTCCTAATGAACGCGCTACCAACCAGGTGATTATTGAAGTTAAAAATGCAATTATAACTTGTTAACCAATGTTCCGTAATACAGAAAAAATCAACATTGTTACAGTTCATGAATAATTCCACTTCCAACTCTTTGCTCAACATTCCTTGAACATTTTGGTGCACTAGGTTGATGACTGAAAAACTCTTGGTTCCATTATTACTTTGACTATTCAATAGCAAGCAAGAGGAATCCTCTGTTGTCTTAGTATCTAATTTAAAGACGAATTTGTCGCAATGTCAGTAGGATTATTACTGACAGTCATGTCAATAGAAGAGTGCTCAATAGGAGCACTCTGGTTAGCCAAATTTTTGGCTGTTATAGAAAAAAAATATGATAGCGAAATAGCTATTTGTCTCTTATAATAATTGGAAAGATAATATTTATCTTTAGTCAAATAAAATTTTCTAACATACTTGTTAGTGTCAATGACATGAAACTTTGCAGTATTGCATATAGTGTGCAATGTCATATTCAATTTGTATCGCAAATTATTTTCTTCATTGGACAAACTATTGCAATACGGCAACGTAAAAATCACGACTTTCCCAACACTTAATGTATTTAATTCGTTTATATATTTCAATAATTTATGTCTGTTCAAAGTACCTCTATTGCCAATAAAAAACAATAAAGTGGTATTTTCGCTGTAGTTTTGTTTAATTGCTTTTTCCAAAATATCACTAAAAGAGGAATTAGGCATACAGAAGTTTAATGTTGAATGGCCCTTATCGAATAGCAAACGGCCCATGTTTCTGCCAATTTCATCACTGAACATTAAAATATTATTTTTATAATTTTGTGAATTTATTCTGTGACGTTGGGAAAATTGTGATGGGGAGCAGTCATCAGTAACAGATGACTGAACAGGTACCTGAGTAAACAGTTGTGACTGGTGGGCAGATGACTGACAGGGTTTTTGTGTAACTGTATTTATAAATTGTTTCTGAATATTATTATTGTTATTGTTACTAAAGCTGTTATTTGTTTTGTTAATTAATTGTTTATTATTTAACAGTGAATGGTAACGGTCAGCATTGTAATTGCATAGGTTAACCAACTCTGTGGCAGACCTAATATGCTCATCAATCTGAGACTGTGCAACTAAATATTTATTTTGTATTAATTCTATTGATTCATGTAATTTTTTTATTTCAAATTGAAATTTTTTTGTATCCCGGTCATACATCTGCCGACTTTCACATAATTTATCACTATATATTTCCAAAGAATCCATCAGACTACTGCGTTGTTTCCTCAAGGCAATATTTTTATAAAAACAATTATTCTTCTTTATCAATCTCTCAGTTTTCTGGATAACTTTTCCAATTTTAATATATTTCTTAAGTTTCCTAGTACTTAAATTAAAATTGATCTGACTCTTAGAGTGTGTATCACAGGCTGTTAGTTGATGCCTCATCGACTGACCTCCAGGTGATGCTACCAGTTCTTCGAAAAGACTTTGGGTGTATTCTGCTTCATGTTCTTTTTGTTGTTTGAGCAGTAGTTCTATTTTATTATTGGCCAAGTTGAGCTCCTGTTCCAGTTCTGTGATGCGGTTGAGCACCCTCTCATGAGTATTTAATTCTTCTTTGAGAGTACTGAGCGCATCCTTAAAATGGTCCCTTTGATGCATTACTTCTATATGCTCAGTATGCAGTTCACCAAGCTCACTCTTCAGTTGTGAGTTCCGACCAATAATACGTTTGATTTCTTCTTCACTTTCATCTCGTTCCTGTAGTAACTGGTTACATGTGTCCTTTGAATCCTTTAGCTCCTGTAGTGCTTGCCTTAACTGCATTTCTGTATTTTGTGCAGCAGCCTTACGGGTCAACATATTGAATCAAATTTCCTAAAAAAATAGAAACAAAGCAGAGTTAATGCAAGAATTGGAAAGTTAATAAGTTTCAAAATATCCTATTTTATCCTATTTAAGCACCTAAATAATCAGTAAAGATGAAATATTGATTTTAAATATAATAATATTCAATAGGTGGGTAGAAGAATAATAAAATATCCTAATTATTTTTGTTCAATAAGAGTTTATAAGAAAAGGTATCACTTTATAACCAATCACCAATTATAATGATAATAATAACTAATCAATAATCTTAAATAATTTATTATAATGTGCACCCCCTCCCATACAATTACTTTTTCATTTTTAATTTAAGCTACATTTATTTCTACAATATTAACATCTACAGCAGTGTCTTGTCCATACACTAGAGTCAAAGAGATGTAACATAATATAATCTTAGTTCTTTTATTAATCTGAATCATACACAATAAGTGATTTCTTTATCAATTATTTTTTATTAAAAGTTAATGCAATAATATACCTAATGGACATTAAGCTTTATATATGAAACAATTAATGCAGAAAATAAGTTTCTCAGCTGTGTTAATGTTATTGTTTATTTGTACAAGAGTAATGTTTGTAAAGAGTAGCAATAATGAATGTCTGTGGCAACTCGGTCACCATCAACTTTACTTCCACTTTATGTCAAGTAAAGAGAGGTTAACAGTACCAAATTGTTATGTTTTGTGACGTTACTCACTATTCGTGAGTTTTGATAAGAGTAATGATTTGAAAATTAAGGTATCGAGAAACCAAAATGCCACACATAAAACTCATACAAGGAAATATAATGAAGTATCAGCAGTATATTTTTTTACTAAATTATGGAACAAAAGTACTTCCCCGGTTTGTGATGCAGCAGTCCACAATTATATCTTTTCTTGATAGATTTTTGTTTGTTTTTCGTCTTTATCTTCTCCGACAGATAGACGTTACATATTTGTCTGGCACGATTATTTGAATGTAAGCGATTATATTTACATGGTAAGATCAATTATCAACACTTAAGGCTTTGTTTTCACTTTCACAAAACTAATATTAATAAATATCGCAATATATTTAATTTAAATTAAATTTTAAATAAAATTAAATCAGCTGTAACGATTTGACAACCGTACACGCCAGTGTTGCCACACCGAAAAAAAAAAAAAAAAAAAAAAAAAAAAAAAAAAAAAAAGTTGAATGGGCCTCGTCCCATGGTCAATTTAGAGTCTTGTAATTAAAAAAAAAAGGAAACTTCAATGTCAGTTTTGACATTTGTCTTTTGTGGTCACTTCACTGCCATTTTATTTAGCAAAAAGATGTGAAATCTTTTCTTATTTTTTAAATCGAGTTACATCTGCGGTATTTTAGTAAAAATATTCAAAATTTATAATGGTGGAAACGTAAACCTACCTAGGGTATACCCTATTATATTATTATAAATTCCTTTTTTTTACCCAATTATCATCCCTATGGCTGGTTTACGCGTAATTATAATTATGTTAAAATCACTTCCGTATAGATTATCTGTGCATAGACAATGTCGAGTCCTACTTTTGTTGCATCATAAATTTCGTGTTCAGATAAATAGAATAAGCCTTCAGGTATCCTGTTCATTCATTCAAGTTGTACATAACACAACAATTAAAATATACAAAATTTATAAAAATACAGTACATATCGATGCTACTAATATATCGGCGGGTAATCAGAAGGGGCTATTACGAAGCCCAAAAAGATGGTCCATATCGGAGGACTATCTTTAAAATAACACTGCAGGCGTGTATAACAACGTCGATTTGTTCCATTTTATCATTTTTCATACGAAAATATAACGAGATGAGCGTGACGTCGTCGGATGTCTTTACTCCTCGGCGATCGGAAACAGAATGTGTGCCAAAATGGCGGCAATTTGCTTTTATTAACGAACTGTCAAAGTCAGTGTCACCATTCTAATAAAATTAGAAGTATCGATGATCGCGCTCTCTCTACGATCGAGTTATGAAGTAATCGAGTAACTAGCAATTTAAAAAAAGCAACTAAATCAAACGATCTTCGTAAAGATGATGCGACAAATACAATATTGAACGGCTGATAATTACGAACCTTGAATCTCGAGTCCAATCTTGCTATTTCACCTTGCAACACGTCTGGAATATCCATTGTCGGTTCTTCGACTTTCTGTACTTTATGTGGTGGTGGCAAATTCCTATAAATAAAACAATTATGAAGTGTTATACGTCAGATTATCACAATATATGAGTTCTATATTTTGAGTTCTACACTCAATGTACTAGAGTTAAAAATATTTTTTTTATAAACTGAACTGATGTCAATTATACATATTTAATGAAATATATAATTAATAACGGTCAGTTGCACGAATGTCCATTAAGGTTTAATGACGCCTTTGACACAACTGAAATAAATGTCTACAGAGCTCTGTGGGCAAAATATACAATAATTTTTAATAAATCAGTAATCTAGACAGTTGCTATTTTTTTTTAATTTGATGAAATCACTCATCGAAGTTCACTTTCATTGTCACTTATGCTTACAGAATACGAAATAACAGTTTATCTATAAAATATCATAATCGGAAGTTAAATATCATAAGGAGTTCAGTGGAGACTGCCGATATTGACATTAAAAAATTGAAAACCATTGATAGAAAATAAGAGTAATTTTGACAAATTGGAGTTGCTCACTTTTTACGGTGATTACCAACTTTAGGTTGCCAATAGATTTAGCGAATAGGTCTTCAAATTATCCTAAATATGTCGATATTACGAATAATATCGAAGATTTACAATATAAATACTGACTTGATTTCAGGCCCATTGAGCGCGTCGAGCGTGGAGCCGAAGGTCCGCTTGAGCGTGTGATTCGCGAGCGGAGATTGGAGACAATTGTTCACAACCTCCAACAACGGGTTGTAGATTGGCTCCTGCAAAATAATATCAGCTTCTTTCGAATCGAACGAAGTACGGAGCATAACACGCGGGCTTAATGCGGTTAGGTACATGTTACCAACTGCAGATGCAGCCAAGGTCAAAGGCTTAGTGACTAGCTCTTATAAAAGATAGTTCGATTATATTTAGTTTTCAGTAATGGTCAGTAAGCTGTTTTAGTAACACAGTCTAATAACTATCGTAGTAGGTAAATTCAATTGGAGTCATTGATCTGATTTGTATACATTAATATGGACATTCCTTCGGAATGTATTGATTATCATATACTATATAGCTTCGTAAACTGTTCTGGTTTCAAAGAATATAATATAGGGTAAATAAATTTAAACGGTTTCGATAACTTGCTTTCAATTTTATCATGAATAGCAATAAAATCAATACCAACATAATAATATTCAGATGGAAGGAATTTCTTATCCATGTTGTTCTTTCTATAAGAGTTTATGATAGAACCACACAATATATCTACTACGATCACTGACGCACGCGACTTCTTCCTACGAAGTTCGCAACATCAGCCAGTTATTAACAACATAAAATCAGTTTTACGAATATGTCTTAGGTGTGCAAATCTTGAAAAGTTTAGGAACCACTGGTCTGGTCTAGAGTGTAACAAGTATAACCTTGCCCGGCGGCAGCCCGACGACGACGCCCTCGCTGCGTTTGAAGTCCAGCTTCTCCAGCACCACTTCACACTTGATCAGGGTCTCCAGCGGCATACGCTTGTTGGGACTCTGCAGGATCTCCAATAGATTCTTCATCTTGGTCAACTTCTCCACGTCTGCATATATTAAGCCGAATTACGATACGAAAGTAGTTTCACTTGTGTCGAAATTAGAGAAACTTGTATTTAGTTAAACTCGTTTTAATTAATCTAAATTGGGCGTCATTCATTTATTACTTAGACGATTTAAGCCTTCCTTTTAGAAAAATAAGACATGACTAGAAAAGAGTCTCACTAGTTTTTACGTAAGGATCATAAAGAGTATATATTATTCTTTAAGAAATCATCGACACACGTAAAATACAATATCAAAACGCCTACAAAACTTGCCCCAAATTGTTGCTTTGAAAATTTTGCAAAACATAATATTTTCTTATAGACTTTTATTTACGTAATATTTGTCATGGGGGGGGGGGGGGATAGTTGATTCTATTTTTCTCGCATAGAGTGAGGAGTTCAAAAAATACTAAACAGTCCTACGCAATAAACAGACAGCGTCTCTTATCATTTGCAGTCGTCAATACGCTCGAATCAATACCCATTCTTAACCATCCATAAGGCCTGAGCCCCTGCAGTGGGTACGTATGAGGTCCGATAACGATAATGAATAAGCACAGACAGCAATTCTTGTCAATGTAAGCAGTTCCGTATACTGACTCTCCCCCTCGCTCATCATCCGGTGCACCATCCTGCGCAGCGGCTCGATGTACTTGGAGAGCTGGCGCACCTTCTCGCGGTAGGCGGCCTCCTCGCCGCCCGGCGACGCCACGCCACCGCCGCCCACCGGCGTGTTCAGCGACGACGACGGGGATGCCACCATACCCATGCCCACGCCCCTTCACACACAATTCATTAAACTAATCGAGAAGAGAAGCGCCCTGCTAAAGTACAGTACAGTGTAGAAATTGTAATAACCATGTCATGAGCACCGGAATCATAGGTTTGTTGGACGGGAGCCCCTTTGGATGTTTATTTTATTGTACCTATCACGGTTCATGAGAATCATGAGATACAACCTGGTGACAGACGGACGACCAGTGGTAATAGTGTCCCGTTTTACTCTTTGTATGTATGATCTCGACCTCCTCTGCGCTTCGGACGGCTCGTTAAGCCGTCGGTCAAGGCTGTATTTTTGTAACCACCGAATGCGCACTGGGCCCGCGTGGTGAATCATGGTCCGTTGTCCTTATTCGATTCGATTTCATGCATAGAGCTGAACCCAGCGAGGGGACATAAGCTGATGACGATACCAGTATCAACGAAACAGAAAGTCTTACAGTGTAGCTGACCTCTTTTTTATAGATAGCGCATTTAACCTTAACCCTTGAACGCCGTCCTAAAAAGAGCAGGTTTGATGTTTGGCCCGGTAAAACCAGTTGCCATTCATCTCAAGCGCATAGGAGGAACCCGGTATCCTGCAAGGAGGGTAGTGAGGGATAGTGTACCGACCTCTGCTGCTGCGCGTGGTGGTGCGCCATGTGCTGCGGCGGGGCGGAGGGCGAGGGGCTGCCGCCGCACGCGCCCAGCGCGCCCAGCCCCGACAGCGGCGACGGCATCGGCCCGCCGCCCACGCCCACGCCCACGCCCCCGCCACCCATCACCCCTGCACATACATCGCGCTCTAACATAATGGCTGGATAACACGTAATTTTGTAAATCCTTAACTTCATTTTAAGTGATTAAATACGCGTAAACACACAAATAAATTGTAAAGGACATCGAGCCACGTCGCGACAACAGCGCCACCAGCGGGAGAACAGCGAAACCTTCCCCTCCCCGCGAGGTGCGGGGTAGCGTACCCCCACTCTAAGAAATCTTATAAGATAACTGATTTGTATATGAGAGCAACCAAATTGTACTTAAGTAATCGAACGTTCTCCGAGTTTCTCCGAACCAAGTGTTTTACTTTGCGACCTCTGCTACCTGTCCGCTTTGAAAATCCAGTCTACAGTCCATCTGCTACATAAATAATAAGTAGTTCAAAGTTTCGACAATTAATAACCCGATTCTAATTAGAATTTGGAATGTACTTCCTACTTATCTACTTTCCAAGACATTAAAATTTAATCCCAATTATGTAGTTAACTAAGTTTTAACTTGTTACTTATTTGTGTGTTTCCACTAGTTAATTTAAAAATGTATCTATATGTACGTGTAAACCAGCCATTAGGGTATAAAGAGCTGGTGAGTTTCTTTCGTTTGTTCTGTCAAATGTTTGACTGCATTTGATAGGCGAAACTTAAAAACGATATTAATAAGAATTAAACCTTATCCATTATTGTGTTATTAAATATTTTACATTTTTTCCTGGCAATATTGTTTTTAATCAACATTAGTTTATGAATACAATACAAAGCTACAAGAAGTTTTACATTGTTTATGCAAAATCATTAATATAAAGCTTTATATGGTAATGATATATTGGATTTGCTTGTACAACCAACTAAAAGTGGAAAAATGTTATGCTTATGCAGCTTTTGATGATAAAAGTGTACCGGTCATGTTACAATTCAATACTCTGAAGTAGTAATAGGTCAACAAACAGGTTTTACTCATAAAACATTTATTAACTTACCCATAGAGACGGGGCTAGGTCCGCCCATATTAGGTGAAGGTGCCGAAGGGGACGGACTCTGCCTCAGGAACTGGTTAGGTGCGGGGCCGCGAGCTTGCGCGTATCCAGCGCCCAACATTCCACCAACCACTTCAGGCTTGTTCTGTACTCTACCCTGCATGTGCAACATGTTCAGACCTACTATCTGATTGTTGCCCATGTTGCCAACTGAAGATAAACATTCATTTTAATTGAGTCCCATCAGTATAAGAAAGATAGTTCTCAAATTGGTATAGAAAAAATCACATTACATATTTTTTAAATCCAAGTAATTTATTTGATAAACCATTGATTTCAAGAGAACAAATATTTATTCAACAATGCTGATTGATCACTCACCCATTTGTCCTGGCATTTGTCCCTGCATGGAATTCGGAGCCATCTGCGCCCCCATCCCTCCCACCTGATTGCATGGTCCACCCATCTGGCCACCCATAGAGTTAGCAGCACTCATAGGCACCGACATGTTATTTTGCATTGACATGTTTGGCATTATCTGGCCCTGCATACCCGGTCCAGCTAGCTGACTTTGCAGTTGACTCCCCATAGGATTACCCATGCCTCCCATACCCATATTGTTACCCATCTGCCCTTGATTGGGTACCATTCCCATTCCACTACTGAGTTTGTTTTGCAACTGGATGTTCATTTGAGGTCTTTGAGTCAAAGTTTGTAGCAAATTAGTAGCTGTCTGGGCCTGAGGGCCACCTTGTGAGACGATAGGTCCTTGCTGCCCCATCTGTTGCTGCATGCCACCCATGCCAGGGTTGGGCCCAAGCACACCCTGTTGTTGCATCTGACCCTGAGAACCCATATTCATCATCTGATTCCGGGACCCTTGTGATGCTAAATTTTGTAGTGCGTTTATAGGGTCAGGATTCATGCCAGATTGAGCATTGGGGGCTTGCTGGGCCTGACCCGGCTGAGTTTGGACTTGAGGGTTAGGACCGGGTTGGTTCTGATTAGGTCCTTGCATATTTGGTGCTCCTTGATTTTGCTTAGGTTGGGCTGAAATTTCAAGAATAATTATGTTGTTGCCAGGTAATCTTATAATTATTTTCATTATTGCTTTTGAAAACTGCAAAATGCAAGGCTAAATGAGACTGATCTAATGATATAGCAAATTGTTTGCAAAGTATTTATAAAATTAGATTGCAGGACATACAGTCATGACATTGATAGCAATTGTGAAGTTGCGATTGCAATGCCCACTTACCACACTATCAAGTTTAATAATAAATGTCTAAATATTTACAGTTCAATTCAGGTCGCACCCAGAAAACAACCATATATTTACTTGAAGAGACATGTGATGATTGTTACGATAGAAACACTATAGTTAGCGACTGAAGTCGAAAAGTTTAGGGTCATAAACTCTGGATAGATCCAAATTGACATCCAGGGTTAAAAATACTTATTGCTCCCACAGTCAAACCAGATGACTGTGATCAAGAAAAATGATACTAAAAGTTTAAATACTAACACATCTCTCTCACATGTAGTATGAGTTTAGCAACCATGTTCATGTACTCCTCACGAGTCTTTGCCTTTGAAAAAACATGGTTCTCCATTTCGCTACTGTTTCTAGCCACTTGCATACCAGATCTCTGTATAACTTCTTCACTGAAATAAAAATAATTAATTAATTAAGGGCCTGTCTCAGACTTCAGAAGTAAAAAATCATTTTAACTTTTCATAAGGCAAAAAGTCTTGGTTTATCAAACTCATTGTACAGAAATCAAAATTTTAATTCACTTAGGTGTCTGGTTTCACATCGAAAGTGAAGTCTTTTGTGCTTCATTTTGAAATTATATTTTGTGTAACATTTTAAATAATATTTAAAAAAGTAACATTTAAATAGTATTTAATATGTTACCCAAATATAATAAAACAATAAAAATTTTGGGTTTGCTTAGCAGAAAAAGGTTGGATTTTGGAATTACCCTAGTTTTTAAAGTTATGATGCAAGCAATGGGAAATTCCAATTTTCCCTGAAGTTTCTTTCCAGGTAGTCACTACTTTTCACTGACTTTACCTGACTTCTCAGAAAGTGTGTAGGCTGTAATTGTATATCTTGACTATTGTATTGTTTCGAGTTGCGGATTATCTTGGGTTTATGCAGCCCAGTATCACTGCGACCATTGCTGATCTATTGTGATCTCCACATACTACAGTTCACGGTCAAGATTACATTCTACAAGGAACTGTAGTATTTTCTTGGCCGTAAGTTCTTTAATATCGTCTGGGTGCATCACGTGCTTTCCCAGATAGATACATCGTTTTCGCATTAGTAACGGGCAATCGGTCAAAATGTGCAAAGGTGTTTCTTCTTCCTCCTTGCATCCTCTGCACATTCTACTGTCGCTGATCCCCATATTGTGCATGTGTCTGTTCAGTCCACAATGCCCTGTGAGTGCTCGTACTAGTGTGCGAAGGTGAGTTTTGGTTAAGTTTAAGGCCTCTGATGCCGCCTTTTTGTTGAAGGTTTTAATCAGGGTCTTAGAGTGTTTCATACCGGGAGTGTTTCTCCATAGTTGAATAGCTGCGTAGTGGCAGTAAGTTTTCAAGGTGAGCTGGGTTAGGCTTTGAGGGATGCCACAGAAAGGTTCTGGTCCGATAAGGGCGTCTTTAGCACCCTTTTTCGCCAGTTTGTCCGCCTGTTCATTGCCCTCGTGTCCAGCGTGCCCTGGAACCCATCGTAGAACTACTTTGTTGTTGTTGCCCAAAGAGTTCAGTGTCTGTTTGCAGTTCTCGACCAGCTTCGATCTAGTTATGTCGGAAGCTAGTGCTAAGAGTGCAGCTTGACTATCAGAGTGGATGTAGATAGTATGATTGAGGTAGTTATTTTGCAGATTGGCTGCCGCACATTCCAAAATGGCGTACACCTCTGCCTGGAATATTGAGGAGTACTTTCCCATGTTCAGACTTATAGCCTTCCTTGGGGCTTCTCCATGAATTCCACATCCTACCTCAGGACCGGATTTGGAGCCGTCAGTGTACCACTTTAGGCTTCCATTTTTCCATACTATACGATTGTTTGACCAGTCGTCCCTGGTGGGTATCTCCACAAGATATGACCTGTGTGAATCGATTCTCGGGGGCATGGTGTCAGTAGGCATCCCCAGGATTGGTATATTGCATATTGAGTCCTTCAAGTACCTCAAATTACCTGACAGCCATGTCTTCGCTTCCATGCTAGTAATCCTGTACATGCTAGCCCTCGCCACCATTTCAATGTGTAGATGTAGGGGCGGCAGGTTTAGCAGAGCCTCAAGGGCTGCAGTCGGGGTGGAAGACATAGCTCCTGTTACTATAAGACAAGCAGTCCTTTGCAGACTGTTAAGTCTTGATATGATAGTACTCTGTGTCGTTTTTCTACTCCAAACCACCGAGGCGTAAGACACCATCGGCCTTATGATGGCTGTGTAGAGCCAGAGGGCTATATTGGGTTTCAAGCCCCATCTATTTCCCGCTAGCCGACAACATATCATCAGAGCTGTTTTAGACTTCTGTATAATTCCGTCTACGTGTGCGTTCCAGGTAAGTTTCTGGTCCAGTGTTACCCCCAGATACTTGACCTCTGTCGAGAACGGAATGAGCCTCCCATTCATGGTCGGAGGCGAAAGCTTGTCCAGCTTTCGTTTCCTTGTGAATGGGACGACCACGGTTTTGCCTGCATTAATCGACAGATTATTGTTTTTACACCATGAGTTAATTGTGTTCAGCGCCCTCTGCATAAGGTGCGATAGCATACTTTGGCAGTTTCCTCTCACTATCACCACCAGGTCATCGGCATAGCCCAGGGTGTCAAAGCGGAGTTCAGCCATCTTATGGAGAAGCTGATCCACCGCAAGAGTCCACAGTAGCGGAGAGAGTACTCCACCTTGTGGGCATCCTCTTGTTGTTGCTAACTCTAGTGAATCATTGAGTAGTTCCATCCTCACTGTCCTACTCTCTAGCATGGTTCTTATCCATCTTACAGTAGTGGAGTCAATCTCTTTATGGACTAATCCTCTTACTAATGTCTCGGTGGGCGTGTTATCGAACGCTCCTTCCACATCAAGAAAAGCAACGAGTGCTATTTCTTTATCGTCCAGTGCCTTTTCAACCTTGTCTATAAGGTTTAGTAGGGCAGTCTCCGTAGATCTGCCGCTTCGGTAGGCGTGCTGGGTATCATGTATGGGTTTGTTGATAAGACTCCCTTGTCTGATATAATTGTCTAATACCTTCTCCATGGTCTTCAGAAGAAATGACGTGAGGCTGATTGGCCTGAAGGACTTTGGTGATGTATAGTCCTTCTTTCCAGCTTTAGGTATATCTTGACTAACACTAACATGAAATACGGTTTTAATCACACTAAAAGGTTATGCTTTTTAGGGTAGTAGATGTAATTATATACAGGTACTCTAGAATCAATATTTAAATACTACATTACGAGACTACGAAATAATAACATATTGCGACGTACATACGATGATAAATTTTAAATTATATGTAAGATATGTACAGCAAACGGAAATATCGATCTTAACTTAAAACTTACATTTTTGTGACCACTGTCTGTCGAAAACTAGGAGTTCGCCAATTGTCGTCAGATGCCATTGTATTAAACTGTTTTAAATTGTCCATTTCAATACTATGATATGAGAAAATTATCAATCGACAGTAAATATCAATTTACAAAATGAGTGAATAAAATTTAGAAACAACACAAACACAATTTTTGACGTTTAGTGAAGAGAACTGAGAAAGAACTAGAGCACAGACTTAGAACTAGTCACCAGTGGTCGCCAGTATTATGTATTATCTATGCTGTAGTCTTTGACCTTTGTCTTGACATTTGTCTTTGTCACTGAATCGAATATCTATTTATAGTTAACATTCACGTCCTCAAATATAAAAATACATAATGGGAAAGTATTTAAAAAAAACGAAAGCACTAAAAAAAGCACTTCCACTAGATGGCGACTCTAGCAAAAGTGGATTTTTGCAGGAAACGAATGGATCAAAAACAGTCACTTCCGTTCTTTTTAACTAACTTATTAAAAAACTGAGAATTGAAAAGTTCGAAACTTAGATATCAATACAAATACGAAAAAGTACAAATAGAATATGAGTTGTTTATTGAGTTTTGAAAACTAACTTACTTTTAAACTTGAAAGAAAACCGAAAAGATTGTCATGGAGAAATCAAGAACGTACCGTAGGGACATCTAGTTTGATTTCAGGAAGTAATGTTTATTTTTTTTAATACTGCCTCATTCGGATCCAAAATACTCAAATACATATTTTGAGTACTAATGGTATATTCCAATCATTTCACGTCAAACACGTTAACAGGCCTTCTAGCAGAGAAAACGACTTCTAGGTTCATACGTACAGTCGAGTCCTAATACGATTTGATTTTCCGAGGCGCGTATCGGCGTACACATTATTGACTTTTCTATAAAAATAAATAATCAATTGATCCTAACGGAATACACCGTCTTTGAAGTGTAAACTAAATATTATAAAAGGTTTTTAAATATAAAATACTTTCATTCGCAAAATTTGCAGAATTCAACTAATTTAACTGTCCGAACAATTATAAAAAGTAAAGAAAAAATTATTAGAGCTTTGAAAGGCTCTTCATATTTGAATTTGAATATTTGAAAAAATAACAATAGAATTTATGATGCCTTTGATATCATAGTTTACGGTTCTTTACTCATAATAAATTAAGTTACCTTCATTTAAGTTTAATTAAACAAGTTTCTTCAAATTTTTTTTTATCTTCTGATCATAGGGGTAAGATTTTTTTTACGAATTTATATGCAAACTTGAAAACTGGCTTACGCAAATTTGATTTAGACGACTTTCTCTTGGTCACACCGATACGTATACACACAAACAAATCGTATTACACATTTCATTCGAATTATCTGTACTCTAAAAGAGGAATTTTTTTTAAGAAAAAAAAATAAATCACTAAAAAGCACCTCACTAGATGGTGACTCTATCAAAAGTTGGTTTTTGCAGGAAACGAATGGAAACAAAGATAGACATTTCCCTTCCTTTTAACTAACATATTTAAAAAACTTCAAACTTATTTCTTCATGACAATCCATTCGGTTTTTTTTCATGTTTAAAAGTAAATTAGTTTTCAAAACTCAATAAACAACTCATATTCTATTTGTACTTTTTCGTATTTGTATTGATATCTAAGTTTCGAACTTTTCAAATTTCAGTTTTTTAATATGTTAAGTAAAAGGAATGGAAATGCAGTCTTGATGCAGTCTTTGGTCCATTCGTTTAATGTAAAAATTAACTTTTGCTAGAGTCGTCATCTAGTGGAGGTGCTTTTTAGTGCTTTCGTTTTTTTTTAATCCTTCCTCATTATAATAATACTACTCTTTCCTATACGTAGGGATGCCCAAAAAAAAAAATTTGTATCGATATATCGTATCGTAATGTATCGCATATGTTTGAATCGATAAACGATATTATCGTATCCTTTTGTAACGATACATACGATATTTTCGATATTTTATATAAAATGAGGTAAGTATTTCGCTTTTTAGTGACAAAGTCAAACTCTTACCATAATTATTAGCATAACAAAAACAAACTTTGCAAATTATTGAAGAACTCTAAATAAAAACAAACTTTTTATTATTCACAGTTGCCATTGCTCTGCACTTCATCATGATCATCATCGATTACGGGTTTCTGAAAGTGTGGATCCAGCTATAGAAATAAACGTTCGGAGGGAACAGAAGTAGCCACAACAGATAAATAACGCAGCGCCAAATCACTGAAATCAGGCCAAATATTCTTTCTTGCTGCCCAGTATAATATAGGGTTTTCTTTCCTCTCGTTGGTTCTCTCGTATATTGTTTCAAAATATCATCCATGCCTACTCTGGGTTCACATTAGACAAGCAATGAACTTTATATTCAAACAAAATTGTCGGTATCTAACTACAAAGATCTTAAGTAATCCTAATCTACCTACAAAATATAAATAAAAGTTGGCTCGTATCATCTCCTTGTATTCTGTTACATGTTAAATAATTAATTATAAGCTATAACAAAGTATTCATCACATTAAAATGATATGAGACGGTGCCGTTAAGTAATGGAATCCTCATTAATTATATTGTAAACAAAATGTCTCAGTCTAATACGATACGTCGATATGATATTGTAGTGAAAATTCGATATAACGCAACGAATCGTATGGCTAAAATATCGTATCACATATCGATATATCGTATGGTCCTGTATCGATATTCCGATATATCGTATCGTATCGGGCATCCCTACCTATACGTTTTAAATGTCAAATCGGGCGGGACTTCTTCAGAAAATGTGACTGAAACGAAAACTTTATTTTTTATTTGATTTAAATAATTAAATAGATAGTCTCTAATATTATTCACCCAAGCCGTATCGTTCAATTATTAATATAATGGCCACATCTACCATAATACGTGTGAAACGGAAGATAGAAGATAATCCACAAGACGCTTTAGTACTTTTGTGCAAACGTTTGAAAACAGACACTGAGGAGATTTCACCATCACTATTTGTTTTCCAAGGAACTGTTAGTGATCGGGTAAGTTTTTATGATGATCTTAAAATTTAATATATACAGTCCTAAATGAATCTTAGTTATGTGTGATAATTATAGAAATATAACCGCACTAATAATATTCAATTTCAGGAGAGCAATGATGTAAAGAAGATAGTTCCAAAAAATGAATTCCAACTTAAAACAACGCACAATGTCAATGATATTATCAATAAAATAAGGAAGGAGAGGAAGGAAGCTGCACAAGAGAATCGTTATGAAGTTATTAACTGTTCTAGAGGTCTAAAAGATGGCACCGATGACAATGATATTTATGATTTGGTTGATTTGCAAAGAACAAGTGATGTTGAAAAGGATGTGAAGTATGCTTATGACTTATATGTAGCTGCTAAGCAGCAGGATTTTGATGTGTCTATGTTGGATAATCTTGTGAGGTTAGTTTTTACAATTTTTACTTTTTGTAAATTTATTACTGACTATTTAATTTATTTGTCTGTGCTCATTTTGAAAAAGAATTGTCATTTTTGGAAGTTTAATATTGAGAAACAAATCTGTTCAGAGGTCTAGCTTGAGTTATAATTAGAAAATTATTGTTATGTGTGTACTCATGCAAATTATAATAGTTTTTGTTTCATCAAATTCGAGCCAGGATTACCAAAGTTACAGCATTGTAAATCACAGTTTTTTAAAATTTTTGATTCTTTGCATTCTATGTGATAATATCACATTGCGACGTGACAGTCAGGCTCGATTGCAGGTGCTGCGGAGTATTTATGTTTAAATGGATAAAATTTTATTTGTAAATTGTTTTCCATTTATTATTTTAAGTGTTCGTTATTGTGTCTGTGTTATAAAATTATTCTTACCAAATTAATATGTGTCCATAGTGATGGAAAAGGGTTTTGTAAAGAGTCAGATTACCTACCAAAAGTTGTTATTTTTATGGTTGCACAATATTTGGCTGCAGCCGAAATGCGAGGAATAAAACTGAACTAACAAGTAATGTGTAACAACTAATAATAAAACTTGATTGAAATATATAGATATTTCAATCAAGTTTTGCTAAAGACAACTGTTTATTTTTTGTTGAGTTTCAAACTGCGAAAGGTGTTACAAACATTTTCTAAGTTGACAGAGTTCCACATGAACTTCCAAAAATGTTAAAAGAGAATAGAGGCAGATTAGATTATTTCATGTTTAACAAGCAGGGGCGACAATCATTTTCTCTATTTCATTTTTAAATATTGATTTAGTCAAGAGGTCAATTCAAAAAGTTAATTTCATCCTTTGTGGGAAACTGAGTGGTTTTATTAAGTTTTCAGTATAATTTTCAATCTTTAATTTGTAATGTTAACCTGTATATGAAATAGTGCAGTCATATTATTTGTCGTATTTTTGTAACAATAAGCCTTCACTAAAATATCCAGTATTTATCAATATGGCCATGGTCATACACACACAAAAAAACACCTACTTCCAGAAAGAAAGTTCATAAGCTATAAACTCATATGCTAGTAATAATACATAAATCAAATTTACTTCTTTGTTATTTTTATGTATCAATAAATTTTTAAGATTTTGGTAAACATGGTTTTGAAATAATATTATGACAAAAAAACCTGCTTGTTTTTTACCCCTGGCTATACTCAGGTGATGAGTTTTACGTCGAAATGATTTTACAATAATCTACGAAACCAGTGGCTGTGTGAGAATCTGCTCTTTTCCTAACCTTCAACAATTTTATTCAGATATTTCTATGATGTGGTGGTCCATTAAATTCTTCATTAGTTTAAAATGACATTAAACTTTAAACTAAAGACAATTTTAATTAAATGTTTGTTTAATTGGTTTTATATCTACAGCAACTCTTATTTAGTATATTATAAATTAATTTTCAGCATTGAAAACTATGAAACAAATTTAATTTTTGGCTCACATCGAGACAATGGTAAAAATCTTTCCTCTGATGATGAAGCAGATGATGAGGACGATTCGAATGATGAGAACAATTGGAGGAACGAGTATCCGGACACAGATAACAGTAGCATAGATGAAGAAGCAATGGTTCGTGCCTTAGAGAGATGCGATATTGGTACGTTGTTCGTATTTTATTATCACAAAACTGTGAATTGGTGTTATATGAATTCGCAATATGTTACATAAACAAGTGTAATAGTTTTTAGTTGTTCGATAGTTTGGTAAAACCGTTCAAATCAATTATTCATTTTTTATTTCTAAATGCGTGCACTTCATATATCTCCTAACTGACTTACCACAGCATTCAAATTATGGGCCAAATAAAAATCTCTAGTGTATTCCTGCTGTAGCGCTGCGGGCGTTAGAGGAATACACGAGCGATTTCAGTGAGTTTAGCTGCCGTACACTAAAGCTGTTAACTTGCGCTATCACCAAGTGATGTTGTTTGAATGGCAATTAAACTGTGGAAATCTACCTGCTAAACTCCTTCAAATCTCAATTAAAATCTCATTTCCTCTAAAACATTTAGCCTGCTGTGCTTGCTATTTTTTTCTCACTTTACGCGCTCTGGTTGTCACTTGTGTTTTTAGCGTTTTGTTTGTCTTTTTTTTTTGTGATTCTTTACTGTTGCAACCGTTATTCCGTTTTGTTTTGCGTGATTTAAATTGTTGTTTTATGCACAATCTAATATTTGTTTTTCTCCATCCAATGCATAGTTGCCTTTAAGAAATCGCTGGCTGGCGATAAGGCCGCCTTTTATACGTTTTTGAGTAAAGATTTATGTGTGTCTATGTAATTTTAATTTTGTTTGTGTAATAAATAGTAGTTATTACTATTTATAGCAAAAGTTAATAGCAAAGTAAATTACATTTCAAAGACAATGATATGTCTTTAGTACAATCCATAATTTGTTTTTGATAAAAAAATTAAGTAGTCATATAATACTATAATTATATTTGTACAACAATACTTGAAACATTTATGTGATTTTGTATTTATGTAATTTAAAATGCGTTTATTATCGCATAAAACAAGTGAGAATCGCAGCTTTTATTACCCAACCGAGCAGCGCAAAGGAGGGTAATGTGTTAATGAGTCTATGTATGTGGAATTTTAAAACTATTTCAATGGAGCAGTTATTCAGTAGTACTTAATAACATTCCATCAATAGTACTTAATAAAATTCCATACTACTGGTTTGGAATGTTATTACAAACTATTGTTTTTAGTGAAAGTAATTATTTATATATGTAAGCTTATGAACACAAGTGACATTGGGTGAAAGGGCGAATGTGGAAAATAAAAAGTGCCAGGTCTGCATATAGCCAAGAACCAAATTATCCATCCAACTAGTCTCTTCTTGGAACGACACCTTATGCGAACTTAACTCACCTACATTTGAATTTTGTTTACAACTTACTACCTGTTTTAACTGACTGACTTCTTAATTCTTTATTGTACTTATTGAAGTGTAAATTGTGCTTAACTCCTGATTCCATTTACAAGAAACACATGAAATCAACTTTGTTCCAAAGTTCCATTAAATTACCGTAAACAACCAGTTTATCCAGCCCAGTGTGATTTTATAGATTTTTATTTAAGTTTAATTTTTTATTTTTCAAGGAAAGTACTTTATATTGTACTATTTAACATACTTAAAAAAAAGAAGGTTCTCAGTTTGACCCTTATGCATGTATGTTTGTGCGCGATTATCTCGCGACTGGCTGAACCGATCTTGATGCGGTTTTCAGAAAAGTATTTTTAGTATTACCTATTTGAACTTGGTTCCATTTTTTGATTAATCTATAGTCAGAACTATTGCATCAAATGATTCACTTTGTATTTCTAATTCTCTTTTCTGTTTTAGATGATCTATCAAGTGATGCAGGCGAAGACAAAATATATGACGAAGAATTAAAATTATGTGATGAAGATGTGAAACGATATGGAGCAGCTTATGCAGCTTATAAAGCTAGAGTGCTATCTGAGGATCGTGTGTTCAATTCAAGCTTAATTCAGTGTTCAAGAGTGAAAGAGCTGGATAAAGAATCTGTTGATGGGTACAAAGATGATGATGATGGATTTTACTATGGACAAGATGAAGACACTGAACAATTTAGAGAACAATATGGAGAGATATCCTCTGATGAATATAGTCCAGATTGAACTTTTAAGTTTAAAATGAATTTTTATTATCTAAGAAAATTTAAGTGATTTTGTTGTACATAAAGTAATATAGATATTTATAGTTTACCTAATTTTTTAATTTTATAAATACTAAGTTTTCCATATAAAACTACCACAGCAATATTAAAAAAATATATCTGTGAAAACTACTGTGTTTCATGATTATTGGCATCGGAATACATCGGTCACAATCGCCGTACGACACAAAGAAAATAAACAAAAGTAGTTAGACCCCAAGTCATTAGAATTTCAACTTTATTTCAATGAAATAAATGTCCATGTCATTTTTCTAAATAGCAAATTAGTTGTGAGGGTTGCGATAGCCGCGCCGATGTCAATGATTTGTCACTTTCTGATTGTATTGAAAGTAGGAAGGATAAGCCCTACCGTTGTATAGAACCAGGTATAATGAGCCGATGTAATTGAAGGTTGTTAAGCAACTTTCGCAAGGGCCGCTCATAGGATGGGTGACCAAAAATTTATTATCTCTATCTTGATTCGGGAGGTACGTTAAGCCGTCGGTCATGGTCCCAGCTGCATGTGCAGTCGTTAACACCCACCAATACGCACTGGGCCCGCGTGATGGGTCATGGCCCATTCTCCCTATTAGATTTCATTCTATTCCATTCATAGGGAAAGACAGCCTTAGCAGTGGGCACATTGATAGCCTGTTGATGATGGAAGCAGCTCTATAGTCATTATACTGTCTATAAATTTAGCCGATGCCAATTATTTATCTCAGACTCTAATACCCGTTTTCACTGAACTTAGGGAGTTGCCCAAATCTGTAACTTGAATATTTAGGAATCGCCTATCGGAATTGCATTTCACCATTGACTAGGAAACGCCTAACTAAATAAAGCAATGTCTAAATTATGACATTCGTTACGCGGCGTCTTGCGCTAAGCATTTGCGTATATGATAGGTCATAAATATGTCGAGGGATAAAAGAAAAAAATATTTATCTGAAATTAAACTAATCTAAGGCAATTCTTAATAATAGGCGTTTCCTAATTAAGCTATGTCTTGTTCTAGGTTAGTGAAAATGGATGTAACTGTTGCTTTAGTGTGATCAGCTAAATGTTAGCGTGGGGACGTCAAATCCAGCCAGTCCGTGCGTAACCTGTCGATCGCCGTTTGCACTTTGCCTTTGAAAATTTATTTCGGAATTCAAACTTTATACTGCCAATTACATAGTACTTTCAGACAAGCAACAGGGTTAGTGGAAAGTATGAAATACTATTTTAGAAGTTGCTGTGCATTTATAAATATGAATGTGTTCAAAATTCAAATATGAATATTCATATTTATAAAAAAACGACTCAACGGGATTCGAACCCGTGTTTATAGATTTAGTTACTATTCTTCAACTTTTTTAGTAGCAGTATAAATGCCATCATAGAATACATCGCATTATATAGAATTATTATATCAATTTCAATCTAAATGTTGCAGTTCGTACTCTAAATCCTTGTAGGCTCAGCTTGTAGGTATTAAAAAAAAATATCCTGTTTAATATGTGATAAATAATTTATTGTCTGGCGTATTTTTTACATTTTCATCGTATGCCTACCTCAATTAATGTTTTAAATTTTACACAAGTTATCAATTTATAATATTCTATGATTATATCGATGAACAAACAGATTTTTAACTTACATTTTTCTTTAACCGCTATCACGGTTATGTTGACATATTTGCTGAATACAGTGGGCAAATATCAACCATACATCTAGAAAATTTCGAATAAAATCAGGTTACAATGATAATTTCGTTCCACCATACGTTAACACATCTTAGTAACGACCAGTAACGACCGACTGTAAAATATTTGACCATAATACGATTTTGTGACACTTCAAACTATAATAACGGAATCATTGATTAGTATAATACTCCTCAAATGGACAAAGGCTCTATTGAGTTTACATATAAAAACTCGATATCGATATGATAAAATGTAAAAGCGTAATTTTTGATATTTATCGGTAGATGGCGCTGTTCTATAAAATTAATACCAAATGGATAATGAGTTTTAACATGTGAACTCATAACCTGCATTTCTGTAATCGATTTCAAACTTTATTTTATTAATGGTGACATTCAAAGCTGACTGTAGAAATATACATAATGAAACTTTAATTACGTTTATTTTGTTATTATGATCAACTCTCACAAAAAGATTGAAATATCTGTCACTTTATTCGAGACGATAGGTACATGTCAAATAATTTTTATTTAACAAGAAACTTATGGCACATACATCAGATGCTGCGTTTTAATAATACCCTAGATACATATTTAACTGTGAAATAAAATTAATTTTATAAAAAACTGTAATCAGTAACCTATAGGTATAAGGTGTTTGGTTTTTCAAAACTTTACGCCGCTGCATTGTTTGAATATTCGAAATTCTGGTACAATCGACAGCATATCAGGCTTTAAAGCTCTATACCTACACATTACTGGTATCTTCAGTTGATTGTGAACTTTTATTCTAATGAATAAAGAGTTTAAACCTGATGTACTGTGTGTACAGTTGACAGCACGTCAACTTGTCTTAAAATTCATAGATTTTAAAGCCTTAATCTGTTTAGTTCGATATTTATTCCAGAAATGTGACCATATATAGTAATTTGATGTGCTCAGTAGGATATCGTGTGTACAATCAGCGCGAAAAACTTCTCCAGAAAATGGATTTTGTTCGAAAAATGGACACATGCACAAAACCAAGATCGTTTTGTCACTTTGTGCGATGTATTATCCATACGATAATGTATATTTAAGCGCCACTATAGTAGTCAGATTATGTTATTATGGAACCTACATAGACAGTTAATAAACCGTATGTTACAAATTTAACAAAGACTGTAATAGAAATAATATACATGTCGATTCGACTTTTAAATCGGTTAATTAGTATAAAGGCTCGTTTTTATTGACGGTATGCATTAAAGTATTATGTCACGCAGATTGTAACTAGGTACTTACTATTAATATATTTTAATTTCAGTTATTGAATATAAAGGTATGCCTTTGGAAGATTTTGTCGTGTAGATATTTCTAATATTTAGAAATGTGAAACATTTTGTAGAACAATATTACCATAATTAATTCATGGTGTTCAGAAATAAGAATTCTTGCATTTTTATAAATACATAAATGTCATGATGAATACGTCTTATAGGTGCAGTCGTTGACAAAAGTATTTAGTTTTATTTATTTCTTTTGAATACATCGAAAGGACTACATCACATCGCGAAATTATTTCTCTTATAGAATAATACTTAAAATATTTGAATGAATCAGCGGATCCTTTGCGCGATTGAAACGTCGATTGATGTGAAAATGAAGTTCTTAATAATTTGACAGGCTGACAGATAAACTGTCAGCGGTCTAATCAAAAATGTTCAGGGTTTCATTTTAAAAGATCAACCAGGGCTTTAATTATATGGTAGAGGTGCTGGTGCCAGAGATGGAAATCGAATCCATCTAGTCGAATTTTAAAAAAAAATTGAAATCTTTAGAATTGGAAAGCAAAATTTATCAAAAATAATAACGCGAAACCAAATCGAAATAAGTAGAAGAATCGTAAACTTTAGCACAAAAATGTCACGACTGCAACGATTTCGAGACTCATTTCAAAGTTTACAGGACAAAACAAAATTAATACAGCAAAATTCTTTACATTTAGGTAATTCTATGAAACAAGTCTTCTATTCACTTAAATCTATCAACTATAATTAGTGAGATACTTATAAATGCAAATTACGATTACTCTAGCAATGCTTTGGCATAGACAAAACATGGTATTTCGCTTAATGACTTTATCTGGATATTTTTTCTAATGTACTATTACACTCGCAATGCGTGTTACGCGATGATTGTTATTATTATTAATATTTAATAAGATTGAGTTCGAACCTGTTGCACATATAATAAACTTACGCACATCGTATTCTTGACATCTGAAATTCCTTTCCACATTTTTAGTTATATTTTAAATCTTTTAATTTAAGATCAAATTAGGTTTCGTTTACTGTTGTTTTTTATTTACATAATACTCAAATCAAACCAAACAAAAATAATATTTTACCATATTTTAGACCGAAAATTGTTTCTTAAAATCTATTGGTGAAGCTATCAAATTTTTTTTTATATTGTAGGAAAATGAGTTTGAACGGTGGTGTGCAACAGTTCTATCCCATATTCATTCTAAAATGTTTTGATTACATGTTGATTTCCATTCTTTATAATTTATAATTACAAACTAAAGTAATTAGTCTCAGTTGTAATTTAACAAATGGTTAGGTTGTGGATAATATAATTTATACATTGAAGCAGAAAAATAGAAGCTATAATGACTCCGGTAGTAGTAGTATCACATTTTTAATTTATAGTTAGTTGTTAATTGTATAACGATGTGTAATAAGAATTATAGTTTAAATAACATTGTATAATTACCGCGGAATATCATTAATGTTATTGCTAAACTTAAGCTTTTAGCTTAGAACAAATACGGAGACACGATTACATATACAATAGCTATATTATTATCGAGAACCACTGGTAGGTCATCATGACAGCTTCTGGAATGAGCATTAAACGCTTTTATATATGGGAATTATATACAATCATTTATCTACCATCAATAATTAATATAAAACAAAAATTAACAACAAAGAAAGAACAATCACTTAGAACAAATGGTAATAAAATTTAGTTACAATGTAATAATATCTTTACAAATATTTACAATTTGGTAATTTTTAACGTATACTTATACAAATACGAAGAAGGTTAACTTTTCTAACTACATAAAATTTACATAACAAGTTAATTATTAGTAACGAAAATGATTTTAATTATAATTGTGAGCGCGCCTGTACTCGCCAATGTCTATACAATTTTTATTCACACACTCAATCACACTGAAATTTTGGCTTTGATATGCGTACAAGTATCCAATTACACCATAATTAACCAGTCAATATTGCACACAATTTGAATTATTTCAATCCAGAGGGTAAGGATTATTTTTTGACTATCCTAATTGATATTACAATTAAAAAGGGAATCGTTGAAGCGATCGGAAGCTAAAGTACCAGCGTCATTTTCATGAGACAATGAGATAATAGATGCACATCGCTCAGGTTGTCTTACCAGTAATAGAACCTGTGAACTTAATTGGGTCCTGGAGAGATCTTAATGAGAAAGCCTATTCAATGGTTATGTCGTTATTTCTTGAGGGAATTATTTCGTACCATTATGGGAATATAATTTCCGAAATCGATAATGAATCATAATTTATGCGAGAAATATGTTAGCGTGCATTTTATGCCAAAAGTAGTTTTTGATATATCGAAATACAGATTTTAATAGCCATATTGAACTATGTATGAAACTTATCGGGAAATATGGAACTATATCTAGGAGCACATAGCTCACAGCACAGGAGTATCAGTCACCCTGACAGCGGGTGGTGCGGGCACATTGTTATTGGCTGCAGAGTCCTGGTTATTCGCCGTGCAGTAGAACTGTTTGTGGGCCTTGTAAGTGTTCACATATTTGAAGGAAATATCGCAGGACTTGCAGTAGTTAGGTGTTTCCTCTACTTCTACTTCAGGCTCCTTTTTTATGTCCACAGCAGGGATCGGTGAGGTTTGTTCCTCTGGTTCTGGGTCGTCAGTTGCGTGGACCAGACGAGCGTGCCTGGCCACGTTTCCTCTGTAAGTGGAGGTGTAAGCACAACTGCCGCAGCGATGGACTTTCTCGCCGGCCACTGCTGGACTAGGCGACGTCACCTCGCGGTTATCTTCTTCGAGCACGCACGCTATGTAGCTCTCCTCCTGTAAATAATAAATGTCAGTTTGTTTAAAAGTTCAACAGCAGTCTGTTTGCGTATTTGATTGTAGGTAGATACCTGTTTTTTAGATCCAGAGAAGATCCCTCTTTTTGATATTTCGTCTATTTACTAATGATTATTTTATCCATTCTATAGTTATTGCGTGTTGTGCCTACAAAGAAGCAGACAAACACGAGTTTAACTTTTTCTTTTAATTTTTTGGTGTTGCGTTTCTTAAAAATATTATGGAAATTAATATTAATTGCATTATACAGCTTTTGTATAACATTCCAATGAAATGTGATAAAACAGAGACAAAAGAAAATGAACGTCTAGCGGTTGGGGACATGTTTGGATAAATTGTGATACATCCGTTATTTCTGATTTATATAACTTGGTAGTTTGCGACGTTGTTGAGTATTTATAAGCTGTACGTACCTGTGACATCAAATGTGATAAAAAATTAATTGTTTCTCTAACAAAAATGTTAATGTGAATTCAAAACAAAATAAGAAAATATATTAAAATGTCTCACCTGCAGATCAGCAGGTTTCTTGTTGTTAAAGTGCATCCTGATATGCGTGCGCATTCCTCTCAGGGTGTTGCCGCGATATCGACAGATAGTGCAGCGAAATGCCTTGACACCAGCATGCGCCTCCATATGGCGCTGTGCTGCCGCCGCCGTTGGAGACACCACGTCGCAGCATGGACATTTCCACCCACCCTCTGAACCCGGAGAAGGTCGCGCTACTTCAGGCAGCGTACGAGGTGATCTGGTCTCCCTCTTCGTGCAATAAAATGATTGGTGAGTGGTTAAGTTGTCTAGTGAGCTAAAGTGAATACCACACGCTAAGCAGATCAGTTGACGATACTGCGGTGGAGGCCCAGGTTCAGGCGGTGCTGGACTAGCTCTTTCTTCTCCTCCACCGGATGAACAGTAATGCCTTTTATGGATACGATAATTTTCAAACTTGCAGAATACGATGTTGCATTCTTTGCATTTGGAGACTCCTTGTTTGACTAAAACCTGAGGTGACGCGGCGACTGGCATTTCACTCGCGAGACGTAACGCTAATGCGGGTGTTATCATAGACGGTGGTACTACTGGATTAAATTTTTCTTCGGGTGGTGAAGGTATGCTGGGAGGCTTAGGGGTGGGACCTCTAGAATTTTGCCGTCGTCTTTTAGGCGGCGGAGTTCCACTAGGAGATGAAGATCTGTGCGATGGTGACGGCGTACCCGGTGACCCAGGTAAAGAAGGCGCACATACTATTTGCTCAGGAGTCGCTGACCGTATTCTGTTTTCTTTTTCATGATCGTCCGTAGTCACAGACTCTGGTGAACGGCGTACACTCAAATCAAGTGGGGTGGCTGCGTCTCTGGATGGTTCTCGAGGCCTATTCGCTGATTTCAGAACCTCTGTATCCTTACCATCTGAGTTCATATTTGGTAAAGCCCGGCTTAAGGGCTGGAATGTTCCATTCGGTAACAAAAAACACGGTGTATCAGGATCGGGTAGAGTGGTTCCTGGTAATGTACTTGCGTTTCGTAATAGTGAGTAAGGAACTATAAGAATGGGGTTAGTTGGCAAGGCCAATGCATATTGAGCTTGAGCCGGAGGCGTTGCGCCCGGTGAAGGTGGTGCAGATTCTGACGTAACCGATCCGGCTCTCACCGCTGCTAGCGCTTGTTTCACAACTTGTCTAGTACTACAGTAGTGAGCTTTATGAGCTCTGTATGTTTTTATTGAACTGAAACGTATATCACAGTCGGCACAGTAACGATCTTGTGGCGGTGGGCCTTCGATTACTTCACCATTAGATGTAGGTGTAGGAGCGGGAGTTCCACTGCTGACAGGTGACGACGCATGCATTCGCATATGCCGATTTAAACTCACTTTTTTATCCGCACTGTATGAGCAATAAGTACACGCATATTGTTTTCCGGATGGACGCGGTGTTTTAGCATCACTACTCGATTCGTCTGCTGCAGGATCTGCAGGTGCATCAGATCCGTCAGCGGTTTTAGGCCTCCTATTTGAACAGTAGTGTTCTTGGTGTGCTTGTAGCGTACTCAGTGAAGAGTATCGGATGCCACAAGGTTTACAAATATATCCAGGTGCTGTGGCTGCCGGGAACAATGCTGGAAATGTAGCCGATAATGCCAGAAAGTCTCTCGTTTGCGGCACAGGTGGAGGTGGAGGCGACGGCGAAGGAGGTTCATGTTTGAGAGGCGTAGCTGTAGGCGCTAGCGCTGGATCCGTAGCTAAACTGGTGTTGAGCCGCAACCGCGGCGGTGACGCCTCGGGCGATCCCCCCGAGGCCGGCGATGCTCCCCCACTTGATGCCGCCCGTTCTCCCGAGCTCGGCGTGCGTGGTTCTCCGGGCATCGCCTCGCTCTCGTTTCCCCATTCCTCGTCTTCACCTGAAATAATCGAAGAAGAGCATATTCAAATATATTGAATGGACAACAAATTCCACAAATGGAACAAAATAGTCGAATAAAAACTATACGACTTTGATATGCTTCTATCAATGCTAAATAAACGTAGGATGCTAAGTTGGCGTGGTTTTCTCGCGATAGTCGTCACTCGTCACGTTTCGCTCGCTATCTGTCTACGTCAGTCAGATCCAGCCTTTGCAAGTCGAGGCATACATTAGCGGTCCTAATTGAGACGTGCTCGCGCTATGTAAATGTCGCCGCGTGGGTGGGGTCGAGAATTTCTTTAAAGAAAAACGACCTATACGATTGAGTGGGTTATTCGTGTTTAGCAAATTTTTGGAATTCGTTCGATCGGCCGTCAATACGAACCGGTTGTAACAATAGTCGTCCATCAATATCGCGAACGTGAGCCAGCCCGGGGCAAACAGAACAAAAACATAACGGGCCCTCATGTAATTGGATCTGATTTCCAGAAAACGTTCGCTCACCTTCCTTTTTTGAGCGACAACGATCTCTACCGAGCAAGGAATTAACCTATCTTTCGCTCGACGATCTCGACTCAAAACGCCAATTAATGAGAGGCTCAACTTCATTCTCCTGCCCCTGTGAAGATCATTATATGGGCACGACAGCGAGATGGACGCGACGATTGGTGCCCGCGCGCCGGCCGCCATCTCGCGGTAACGAATACTTCTCGGATCGGATTGCGTTCGGGTCACGCTATCCTAGCGCCCGCGCGTTTCGATTGGTCATTACGATTCAGTACTGACGTACGATTGGTGGGCTAATGTGCTTTTATCTGCCACCTTAATGTTAGCGTCATACCGAAGGTCCGCTTATCGTACTTCGTTAGCAACCAGCTTCTGTTTTTCGTTAAATAAGTTATAAGTGATTATTGGTTCGCGAAAAGGTTGAATGCGCAATCAGATAGATGGCGTGACTGGGTGTCGTTTCAGCGGCGCTCTCGAAACTCAACTCCGATTCGTTAAATGATATTCATCTGTGCCCTTTTGTCTTTATAAACATGTCAAATTATGGTGGTTGTAGGTGCACAATTTACATGCACCGTCCTGAACAAACATGTGTTTTGTTTTGTTCAAATAGAGCCCGCATTATTTGTCTAGAAATTAGATTTGTACGTACAATTATACACCTTTGACTATAAAGAGAATGAATTTATACCAGGTATTCAAGCTTTCTTTAGGAACATGGCATACAGTAGATTACCTAAAAAACAACATTTGTTTTATTACCTAAATGTTATTCAAATTATCAAATTTTTGTACATGGCAACATCGTACTTAAAACTTTCTGCGGCATTCACGGCGGACCTTTTTAAAAATATTATAAACGAGTGGCGTGTTTCTAATCAAACTCAAACTTAATAGTTACACGAAAAAAAGTCATTCAGGGGCATTCAATACACGGCGTTTGTGCGTCAAACACGTGCCTACAAGGGTCTCAAAAAACAAAGCTGGCATCTCGGCCTTATCAGATGGAAGATCGGGGTCCAATTAAAATAGTCGTGCATCGAACGCGTCACAATCGAAGATAGTGATCTGTTGGTGTGACGCCCGTGAGCGATCACATGAGAGTTGAGACGCCCTACTATTTGTTTCAATTGCCGCTTTTCGAGATCGAGATGTGTTAGACACTCGTTAGATGGTACCCTTTTTAATTTGGTCATGTGACATGCGTTTGTTGTGGTATTCGTGATTAGATGTTATTTACAGTACTATTAGGGTTCCCTAGCTTAAGAATAACCCTTTTACTGCCGATTTGAAGAAACTATTGAAGAAAAATACAAAATCTCAACTGATTAATCTCAATAACTTAAGTTTTTGTACATTTTACACGTCAAAAAGTCCTAGTTTTATCAACTGACCATTAAAAAAATAAAACTAGAAATAAAAACCTGTATATGTGACGTTGTCAATAGCTTAAGTACGGTTTTTTTTCCATCTGTCACTGTTGCTCCAAAAATTACACGACTGATTGAGTTAAAATTTGCTGTATGCTATAAAAGCATTGATGAATGGGGCATTTGAATAATAAAGAAAGAAGAGTTTATCATTCTCATTTGTTTTTTAACGTTTTTGCTTTTTTTTTCTGAATGAATAATTATATGATCTTAAATGGGTACATACAAATACTTAGTAGTGGTGTCTCAAATGCCAAGGGTACGTACGTCTGGAGGTGAACTGATTGTTTGATATGTTCTCTCGATAGGAAACGAATTCAATCATCGAAATAAAATGTCTAATTGGCATACTTACTGATACGACATGGATTAATATGAGTTCCTTATACTTTATAATTTAAAATAGACATCAACTTTCCAATAATTAACACATTTATTAATTTACAACTTTTAAATAAATACCTAACATGTTTATTGATATAAAACTTATGTTTATATATACACATTATTTCTTTATGAATAGAAATTGCGATCGAGGCTCACCAAGCAATAGTAGTGTACATTCCGTAGCAAACAAGTAGCAAAGATACAATAGGTTGGAAGTAGTATGCATTATATTACATTATGCATATTATGTCCAAAGATTTTTATTTTATAAAGCATAATCTTATCTTTATATTTGTATAGTTAAAGTTATATAGATACTCAACAATAATAAATGAATATTTTCAAATGTTTGACTCAATTTTGCATATGAGTGTGAAACCCAAAATCAAATCACTGCTGATGTATGCTTAAAAACCTGTTTGATTCGGCCTAAATGTGATTATAGGTCTGTTATGAAATTCTCAACTATAAAATAACCTTTCATACGTCTGATGTTAATCCACAATCCAATTTAAATGTTACAATTTGCATGACTACGCTGCGAAAGCTCTAAGGTCGAAAAAAAATTAGTTTCTAACAGCCTATTAAACCCGATCGTGGCTCATGCAAATCCAGTTCATTCTTATCACAAAACCCTAGGATTTCACTGTTCTAAAGACTATGTTTCAATATTTTTATAGTTCAACCAATGAGATGTCATAGGAGTACGATAAACTCAGTTTATTGGATTCAAAAGCAAAATTAACATGTAATTTTTAAGATACTGCAGTACCTATGCAAGCGCATTGCATGTGTTCGGATATGGTACGGCATTTACTTTAAGAAGTTATATTTTTACCTTTTGATTGTTTGCGTTTTGTGTTGTTTTTAATTTAGTTTTGAATTTTTCTATTCCTTGATTGTAGTAATTTATTCGTATTTTTGAATTATTTTCGCAATTTTTCCTAATTATTATTCAATTATAAAAGTTTGTTTCTACATTGATGCATATGAAGATCTATAAATTAATTGGAGTTTAACCTTTTGCTGTAAATTAATATGCTGCTTATGTAAGTATTAGTTACTTTTCGCGATGAATATGAATGACTAACTATATTTCTGATGTTAGTTATCTGATTTGGAGTTCAATTCTCAGTTGCGAGTAAGTTTTATAAACTAATAGTACAGTTCGTTTTCACTGATTTTTTGACTGAAAAATCATTGAACGAAAATCAAATTTATACAAATTTGCAAATTATAATAGCAAAATGCCAAAAGTTTTATAGTTATTTGATCATAGTTTGACTCGCCCCAAGAAATTTGTGTATCTACACGAATACTGAGTTGTAATTTGACGTCTTTTATTACTGATGAAAATATTGATGTAACAACTAGTTTAAAGCTTGTGGTTTCTTATCAATGTTATATCAGAGAATGGAAAGACTTAAAATATGCAACATAAATAGCACTGCAGCAGTATAAATATGAATTTTGGCATTTATGCTCGATACCAAGTGGATTTGCTCTCGATAATTTTATGTGCCAAGTTTACACTGAGCGACGCATAAATCTTATTCTCTTATAAATATTTGTTTTTTAAATATTATCGTCAAAGTAATCTAAGTATATCATAAATGTAAAAAGTTCCTGTCTAAGTACTTATTTATCTTTCAAAGCGACTATTTACAAACATAATTCTATCGGTCAGTTTATCAGTACTGTCGACTTAACGTCATGCGTATGGGCGCCATTAGCGCAGTGTTGCCTGTTAAGAATAAAAAGAAACTACGAAACAAATACACGGCATAAAGAGCCGAATGACAAAGATGACGTCGATATTATCATAGTTTAACATCTTGATTTATTTTAGTTTGTTCTGTACGAGGTTTTGTTCATCTATCATATAATTCGACACCGGTGTACCGTTCGCATGTGAATTCAAGTCATGCAAGTGTATTCGTTATCGAAAGGGAATAAGGTTAGTAATGTGAGAAGTGATGTTTTCTACATGTGGTAATATGTGAGTAGGACAGTTATATCCGCGACAACATCGTAAAGGTGTTTAATAGAAACAGGATCAGAAATGTTGATGAGTTTATAGATCTAAATTTGAATGATGATTCTGTAAGGTTACGGTATTTTATTATTAGGACAGAATGTTGACAGCTACATTCATATATTTTATTTAAGTAAAAATAAATTATCATGTATTTGTAAGCTTATAAACCTATATATTAATATAGTTTTTTATTAGGTACAATCTTGCCTATTATCGCTTACCTTAAGCTAGGTTTTCACCATAGAAATATTGTCAAATTTTATATTGTCAACACAGAAGTTGGTAATTGTCTTTGTTAGAAACGCACATTTAGTAATAAGAGTTACATGTCGCATATACTGTATATAAGTATATACGTATATGTACTATATATAACTGCTTCTCGTTTCAGTAGCAGAATAACGGTATATAATTAATTAAATCCTAAGATCAGGGAACCGGTACACCGGTCATAATATATTTAGTCATTTCCCTAATTTCTATTATCGACTTTTACGGCTTATTCGAAAAAGACATTTGATTATTTTCCCTCGCTTCCAAACCAGCATAAAATATTTGCTAAGCTTTTATCGATACCGAAAAAAATCTCTTATCTCAAAAGGTGAATAGTTTCTAGCTTCCAAATTTATATTTTAT